TTTCCATATGAGGACAGAGAGCCAAGGGAAAAAAAACTGTCCATGGTCAAGTGGCTGGTGGGTGGCAAAGCCAGGGCCTTTGAGCAGGTCTCTGACCAAAAGTTCTATGCTCTTTCCACTACTGAATTTTTATCAAGGTGACCAGAATCCCACAAATTGCCTTGGAAAACATCCCACCAACACCATCCTTGCCTGTTGCCAGGTGCAGAAGACAGGACAGGGATTGGCAGGTAGCTTTACAAGGCCATTACAGGTGCAGTAATCTCTCTGCTGAGCCTCCCTACTGCAAATGGCAATAGCCCAGACCACAGCAGAGACAGAGTGAGTTGTACTTTTCAAATGCTCCCACACATATCACTTCAAAGCACACCCTGTTCAGTTAGGGGTCACTGAGCAAACATATCCACTCTCTAGTCCACACCATCCACCTTCATGTGGACATCTGAAAACCTTGCCTCAGCCCTCTTTGTACTTCACAGTGAATCTGTAGAATCACTTCTTTTCTCACAAATATGCAGGCAGCATGGGGGTGCTCAATTAGGAGGCACATCTTATAGCACTCCTGACCCTGAAGGACTCCTGATCCTTCAAGAAACCCTTAGCAGCCACAAAGTCTCTCTTCACTGGCAGCGACTGGACCCTACCTGACTTCCCCGTCTCACCTCCAGCTACAGCCCCTGTGGCTCCCACACTCCAAGCTCTTTCCCATCACACCAAACTCACCTGCTCCCGGGGGTTCCCAAAACACAGTCTGGTTTACCCACCTCCCAGTCTCTCCAACCCATGCTCCACACTAATTGTTCCCATGCCAGCTGAAATGCCAGCTCTGCTGGACGACTTTCCAGCCCCACTCCCATTCCAAGCACTAATGAATCCAGGTCTCCCAGTTTCCATAGCACTTGGATGGAATCTCAATTATTATTTTAATTATGTCCTGTGTTTTGAATAGCTGAATATTTCTACCTCCCCTATCTGTGACAGCTTGAGGTCAGGGACACTGCCTGTTCTTTCTTTTGGGTCCTGCCAAGGGCAGCACCTGCAATGTGCATGCTCTATAAATACACCTCTGGAGCAATGTGGAGAGAAAAAGGCTCTGTGGGAAATTATGGAGCAGGGAGAAAGGTGCAAAAAGGACACCTGGTTTCCAGGAAACACTAACATTTTCTTCTGTTGTTCTCAGGTCTTCCTTTTAAAGACCCGAGATTAAAACACTTCCAAAGTCTCAGGTCTACTCATCCTCTCCTACAGTGAGGAAGTCTCGGACCAGGGTCTACATGTGCGATAAGAAGGACCCAGGGGAGTAGGTCATTCAGGTCCAGCCCCTCACATCATGGCCTGGACTCCACAGATGGGTGGCGTCCACCTCCAGAAGGGTGTAGAGGCCAAAAGTGGGCTTCAGAATAAGACAGTCATGGCTCCCAATCCCAACTCCTCCTTTGTGGCTTTACTTTCTCTGAGCCATGGGTGCCTTCTCTGTAATGTGAGTGGAGTACTTGCCTCATGGCGGTGTTAGGAGGGTAAAGGAGTAATCTGCACACTGAGCTCTTGCTGAGGGCACTCTCTCGTATTCCTCAGGTGGGCTGGGGTAGACAACTGCTCTTCTAGACTCCTCCAGAACTAGAAGCTCAGAAGCACAACTCATGCTTTCAATATTCCAATAATCTTTAAACCAAATATTTCATCTCAGCCAAAATAACTGGTATTTCAGCAAAAATCTAAAAGGCTTGCTTGGGCTCCATCGTCCCTCCTGTTGGCATTCCCTGGTACAGGGCTTGTCTCCATTCAGGCCCGCTGAATGACCACACCTGTGACTTGGAAATGTATGGGGAGCAGCTTCCCAGGCACACCTCGGAGACTAGCTTCTCGGGCCCTCAGCCTCCATCTCATTTTCCACCTCTCAGAGCCCACCTCATGCACCAGCACTCCTTCAAAAAACAACCCCCTGGTTTGTCACAGGCCTGTACTGTAGCCATTACCTCTGGACTCAGGCACTGCTGACTCCTGGAGGCATTACTGTCACAGGGACTCTCAGCCTCCTCTCAGGAGCTCTGCCCTGGTGGACTTGAGTCAGCACACTTTTCTCCAGGCAGGTGGCAGGGCTGGCAAAAATAAAAGTCTTTCAGGAAATACTGGAAGGAGGGAGGAGTGACTTTAGAGCCCTGGACAGAGAAAGCTGAGAGGACTGTGAGGGTATCACTTACATCGTCAACCCTGAGCACTATCTTAAATGCTGATGAGAAGCTCCTCTTAAATTGCTCTAAGAAGTCCAAGTACGGTGTCCTAAAGTGCAGCTGGGTCAAGCCAACAACACCGGTCAAGTCAAAGTACAGATGTTCCTCGACTTACGATGGGATTAAGTCCTGATAAACCTATTGTAAGATGAAAATATTGTAAGTTAAAAATGCATTGAATATACTTAACTTACTGAACATCACAGCTTAGCCTACCCTAACTTAAACAGGCTCACAACAGTTATTTGAGCCTACAGTTGGGCAAAATCACCTGACACAGAGCTTATTTTATAATAAAGTGTTGAATATCTCATGTAATTTATTGAATCCTGTACTGAAAGTAAAAAACAGAATGGTTGTGTAAATACTTGGTACTCGAAGCTTGGTATCTAATGAATGAGTTATCAATTTTGCATCATTGTAAAGTAGAAAAATCCTAAATTGAACCATCACTGAGTAGGAGACCATCTGTACTTCTGGAAGGTTAATCCTGTCCAAAGTGGACACAAATAGTCAAGGTTACAAATCCAGGGAAGATGCCCTTTTGCAAGGACATGAGCCCAAAGGGAGCATCTGGGGATGTCACTTCACCTTAAGCTGGCTCTCTTGCATTTCTGTAGCTCATTTCCCCTCAGTAACCCCTATCCCTTCATGTTTATTCCTCAGGGGCCTCTGGCCTCCCAGATCTGGCCCCTCAGTTCCTTGTCATGTCCTTTTTCTTGCCTTCCATTCTGTTCTCCAGCTCAGGGCGTCAGGGTGCCTGCACATGCTGCATCCTCCGCCTACATCATGTGGAACGTCATCATCACTCCCGCACCCAGCTGCCTGCCCTGCACTTCCTGTTGGCAGCACTTGCCCATATGGTAGCATACCACTTGGTCTGCCTTCCCAGATAACTATCAACTCCACGAGGACAGGGACAGCAGGCTTTGTTCACTGTTCTACTTCCAGCACTTTGCTCATGATCTTCCACTGAGGAGTGGACCACCAAACAGCACCCTGGACCACCACCAGCCTGGGCAGGAAGACCTGACCCTGGGCTCGACAGCAAACAAGCAGCCTGCAAGTCACCTACACATGCAACCCGCTCCAACCCAGGCATTCTGACAGGCCAGAGGCAGCAAGAGGGCAAGAGCCCCTTAGTTCCCAAGGGCCAAGCTATGAATCAGCAGATCAGAGGGGAGGAACAGTGGCTTCATTTTGGAGCTTCCAAGGATGGGAACTGGCACACTGCACAGCTGTCCTACTTAGTATCCTTCCTAGCATTCTCTAAACTGTGCCACAGGATTCTGAAACTTGCATGACCTGGAATGCTCAGTTGCATCAACTGTCTTAAGGACTAGCAAATGCAGGAAAAGAAAGTGCCAACACCACACTTAGGCCACAAGGACAAATGCTACTACCTGAGGGGTGACAATTCATCCCAGACACCCAGGTGCCTTGTTTAAACCTGAGAGGGCAAAGACAACCTCAGTATTACTGGATAGAAAAGGCCAGATGGCATCAGGGTCTCCAGTTCAAGATCCCAGCTGTCCTGTGGTAGCTGTGAGGTCAAATCTGAGTTGGTTTCCTTATCCAAAAAACAGGGATAACAATGCTCCCCATGGGGCTGCTAAAAGGACTAAATGAGACCAAACATGTGTAGCACAGCATATGGCATGCAGTGTGCGCTTAACATGCTTTGAGGAAAATGGGAAGCATACCTCAGATATAGCACCCGAGCAAATGGAGACACTGGAAAAGAGTTCATGCTCTTGCTAGCCCTGGTGGGGCCTGTGCTTTCAGAAAATTCCTAATAAAATAGGAAGTGGCATATTTTCCCAGGTGACCTCTACTTTATCTCTTTTATTTCCAGCCTACAGTTCTTAATGACCCTCTTTATTGAACGACTGCCTTCAAAAAGACTTTTTATAACTTTATGCCTCTGGAGGAAGTTGAAGCTGGAGTTGGGCTCTTAGGAAAAAGCAAGTGACAAAACTGATGACCCAGGGCATAGACAAGCAGCTTTACAGAGGGAGGAAACCCTGAGCTAGGAGCTAGGAGACCCGGCCCTTCCTGGCTTCATGGGCATCTCTCACACGTCTGTCTCCTTCGGTCCTGCCACAGTTAAAAATGAAGCAGACGCCAGATCTCTCGGCCCCTTCCTGCTTTAAGATGGTCTGATAGTATAAATCAATATAACTAGAGATTCTTAGTGACCAGCACTTTCCCCAACATTTTACATGCAGAAGCTCTGTCGTCTGCGTTGGTGACAGACACCCTTTGCAGGGCACCCTCTGGGAAGGTAGAAGGGCTGCTCAAGTCTTTCCAAATTCACCATCCCCGAGGAGACTGAGGATGAGACGTGAGCGACTTCCAGGAAAAAACTCCACCCTCGCCCATCACAGAAGCCATCCAGCTGCCAGGTGGCCACTTCCTCAAAGAGTCCTGCCCAGGGCTGAGGGACAGTAGAGGCAGCAGGTGCCCAGCAAAGAAATGATAGAAGCAGTGCCAGAGCCCAAGTACCCTAGAACATGTGTCCCCCTACAAGGAGCACCCACGACAGTGACAAGTAAGATGTGAGAAGAAAAGTTACTGATTGTGTAGAAGGCCCAGTGGTCAAGGAACAGACACATCCCCACCCCACCACCCCTCCTCCCACTTTCTGATCTCCAGCAGGTAATCGGGCAGCACATCCCACACAGCGCTAGGCACCCACAGCAAGACTGGAACTGCAAGGCCTCGGATAGTGCACTGTGCTAGGGTAGGTGAAGAGAAAAAAACATCTCCTGGAGTTTTAAAAACCATGTTTATTACTCTGTTCAAAAGTTGCCCTTATAGTACAGTGGCCATCAATTTTCATTTTTGCATGGTTATACAGTCTGAATGACTAGCTCACAGTCCAAGGCAGTTTTATGAGTTGTGCACTTCAAAGTGGTGTTACTGTTGTAAGAGTAAAAGTCCTCACTGACAAAGAAATTATATTAATGAAACCAAAATCAAGAATGATCTGCTGGTAGCACAGATTACGAAGCAGCTCTCAGAGGGCAGTTCCCTACCTCACACTGCAAAGGTGGCCAAGAGCTAAAAATACCTTAGAAAAATCAAACGGGCACATGCAACACACTCTTAAAAAGGCCAAGCTTGTAAACTATTCATCCATGCTGCTTAAATGTTACAGAATTAAGTACATGGCTAAAATCTCGTCAATCTTCTCACTTCTTCTTCCTCTTCGTGGAATATAATTTTTCTTCAAGTGGGATGGGGACAATCCCTTTACAATCTTTCACTTCCTGGGCCAGAGGGTGTTTTACAATATTTGGTCTAATCACATCAATGTCTCGAGACAAGTGTTCCATCATGCTTTCAACAGTTGCTGTTGGTGCATAAAAATCCACCAAGAAATACCTGCAATAAAATAAAAATATGTAAATTCCTGCATTCTGAAATATAACAATTCTACTATTTTGATCAATGTTTTCATTTTTACTCTTCCCAGAGAGACATCAATGACACACAAACATAGACATCCTTGTCAAAACAGAAACTACTAGCTGACCAGCTAAACGGAAGTGTAGTATACCCAATCTCCCTTTCCCTATGGCCTTTCCCATTACACTCTCATGACAATTTGAATCCAGACAAACTTTATGGCAGCAAAATAACATTGTGACATTACAAACAGTAAGAAATACTAAAGTATGGTAAATTATGGTTGCAAGGACAGAATTCTCTAACTCATAGACAAGACTAAAGTTCTCAAATCATCTAGTTGATGGTTTTTGTAAAAACATCTATTAGGCACTCTTCCAATTTTGCAAAATATTTTACAAGTGACTTAATGCAACTAAGAGATCCAGTAAGTACCATCAACCACACTTCACAAATGTGGAAAAGGATTAAGAAAGGCAAGGGACTTGTTCAAGAACTGACAAGGAACAAAAAGAAAATTACTTAAACCTTGGGTAAGAGAAAGAATTTAATATTCATCTACTCAGGTCAGACTAATGCAACAGGCACCCCATACAGCACTGCTAAGCATACTCCCATCCTAGGTCTCTGCACACTTGCTGTTCCTTCTGCTGTATGTTCTTTGCCCAAGTTCCACATACGTCATCCCTCACTTCTGTCACGTCTCTGCTCTGTTCTCAGAGAGGCCTTCTATGACCACTTCTACAGCAGCAGCACCACCCTTGTCCCATCCGCCAAGCCCCGTTAACTCTCTATCTCCCTTAAACAAGGCTTTATTTTCTCCCAAGCCCTTTATCACCACTGGCATAGTATATATGGATTTACCATCCATCTCACTCCACTAAAACATAACTGCCTTAGAAAGAACTTTGTTGCTATCCCCAGCACCCTCAACAGAGACTAACATAAAGCAGGCCCAGAATAAATCTTTGACAATGACGGTATTAGCATGAAAAGTGGAATTCTCATAGAACTCAGTCAAGACTACATTGAAAATGGACAAATTCAGCAAGAAAGAAAGTTATGAGAAAAAGAATGGCATTTTTTATAATTCCATACAAAGAAGGTTCAAAACTTATAAGAAAACTGCCTAAATGACCATTCACTCTTAGCCAAGCCTAGTGGAAAAATCATCCAAGTAAGCAAATAATTAAAAGGACAGAAAAACATATCTAGCAAAAATACTAATCAAAAGAAAGCTCAAGAGGCTCTAGTAGTATTAGACAAAGTAGACTTCAGAGCAAAGAAAATTACCAGGGATAAAGAGACAATACATAATGATGGGTTCACCAAGAAGACAGAACAACTCTAAATGTATATGCACCAGACAACAGAGCTTCAACATACAGGAAGTAAAACCTAACAGAACTGAAAGGAGAAATAGACCACAGCTGGAAACTTTTAACATTCCTCTCTCAGTAATCAACAGAACTAGTATACAGAAAATCAGCAAAAGACAAAGAGTGAACACCAAAATCAACCCAACTGAAACTAACTGACATTTAAAGAACCCTTCACCCAACAACAGCAAGATACACGTTCTTCTTAAGTGCACACAGAACATTTACCAAGGTCAACCATATTCTGGTCCATAAAACAAGTTTCAATAAACATAAAGGGATTTAAGTTATATAGAATGATCTTAGGGAAATCTCTAAATACTTGGAAACTAGCAGACATCTAAATAACCAATGAACCAATGGGTCAAAGAAGAAATCAGAATGGAAAGTACAAAGTACTTTGAACTGAAGGAAAGTAAAAACATATCAAAATCTGGGGGATGCCACTAAAGCAGCACTTAGCACTGAACACTTATGGAAGATAAAAAGAAAGGCCTCAAATCAATGACTTTAGCTTCCACCTTAAGAGAATGGGGGAAAAAAATTAAATCTAGTAAGATGAAAGAAAGAAGGGAGGAGGGTGAGAGGGAAAAACAATAGAGAACATCAGTGAAACCAAATACTAGTTCACTGAGATCAACAATAAAATTGGCACACCTCTAGCCAGACTGATCAATAAAGTAAGACACAAATCACCAATGTCAGGAATGAGAAAGGTAAAATGAGTACAGATTTTACAAATATTAAAACGACAGTAGGGAATATTATGAACAATTTTTGTAATGAATTTGACAGTTACTATGGGTCAAACGTGTTCCCAAAAGTTTATGTGTTAGAAATCTGATCCCCACTGTAATAGTGTTAAGAAGGTGAGAAATCTGATTATGATATTTGAAAGGTAGGGCCTTGGAGAGGTGACTGGACCATAAGGGCCCTCATGAATGGATTGATCCATTCATGGAATAATGGGTTGATGGTTTAATGGGCTGTCATGGGTGTGGTTCTGATGGCTTTGTAAGGAGTGTGAGTGAAAAGGTTAGTTTTCTCTTGCTCTTCTTGCCATTCCTACCATGTGACACCCTTTGTCACAATGGGACTCTGCAGAATTTTCCCACCCAGAAGGTGGTTCTCACCAGATGTGCCCCTTGGACCTTGCACTTCCCAAACTCCAAAACATCTCAGTTCTTTATTAATAACTCAGTTTCAAGTATTCTCTTATAAGCAACAGAAACAGACTAATATGATAACTCAAATAAAATTATAGAATTCCTAGAAAAATGCAAACTATCAAAGCTCAATTAAGAAGAAACAAATAACCTGAATACCCCATACCTATTTAAAACATTAAATTTGTATTTAAAAACTTTCCCAAAAAGAAAATTATAGGTCCAGATGGCTTCACTGGTGAATTATACCAAACGTGTAAGGCAAAAACATCAATTCTGACATAAACTCATCCAGAAAATAGGAAAACATGTCTCAACTACTTCTCTGAGGCCAGCATTATCCTGTACCAAAACCACCAAACAAAGACATTACAAGAAAAGAAAAAAAAGACTGATATCCCCCATGAACACAAGTGAAAAAACTCTAAACAAAATTTTAGTAAACTGACTACTATAATACATAAAAAGAACGATGTATCATGAACAAGAAGAGTTTATCCTAAGAATGCAAGATTGGTTTAATATTTGAAAATCAATCAATGTAATTCTCCATATTAACAAACTAAAAAAGAAAAACCATATGATCACTTCAGTAAATGGAAATAAAAGCATTTAATAATGTCCCATAGCCATTCCTGATAAAAATTCTCAGCAAACTAAGACTAGAAGGAAACTTCCTCAACCTTTTAAAGGGCATCTTTGAGAAACCTATGACTAATATTTCACCAAATGGTGAAAGTCTGAATGCTCCCCCCCCAAGTTTGGGGACAAACAAGGGTGACCACTGTCACCATTTCTATTCAACATTGCACTGGTTGTTCTTGCCAGTGCAACAGGCAAGAGAAAGAAGTAAACAACATCCAGATTGATAAGGAAGAAGTAAAACTGTCTTTACTTACATATGACATGATTATATAGAGAGAAAATCTACAGAAATTTATAAAAAAGATACAAATAAATGAGTTTAGCAACATTGTAAGATAGAAAATCAATATACAAAAATCAACTGTATTTCTATACACTAGTAACAAATAATCAGACCTTGAAAGTAACTGTGAAAGTGTTAGGGATAAATCTGACAAAAGATGTATACAAGACCTGTGAACTAAAAACTATAAAACACTGCTGAAAGAAAAGTTACATAAATGGAGAGAAATACCTTGTTCATGGGTAAGCAGACTCAAAATTACTTAGATGTCTTCTCTCCTCAAATTGATCTATAGATTCAAAAGAATCACAATCAAAATCTAGCAAACTGATTGTAAAGTTCATATGGACATACAAAAGTCTTGGAACTAAAACAACTTTGATAGAGAAGAATAAAGTTGAAAGACTTACACCACTAATTTTAAGACTCATCATAAAGCTATAGTAATCAAGACAGTATGGTATTGGTGTAAAGGTACACAGAATAGATCAAAAAAATACAGTCTAGAAACAAACCCATACGTATGTGCACAACACAGGCAAAGATTTTCCACAAAATTGCAAAGGCAATTCTGTGGAGAAAGGATAGTCTTCTCAACAAATGGTGCTAGAACAATTCAGTATCTACAGGCAAAAAAGTGAACTTTGCTCTACACTTGTGCCATATAAAAAAAATTAACTCGAAATGGAACACAGACTTAAATGTAAAACTTAAAGCTATAAAACTTCTAGAAGAAAACACAGGCAAAAGCCTTTGTGACCTTGGTTAAACAAAGATTCCTTAGACATGACATCAAAAGCATAATCCATAGAAGAAAAAAATGATAAATTAGACTTCAGCAAAAGTTAAAACTGCTCATCGAATAAAAAGTCAAGCCACAGACTAGTATTTTCAAATTACATGTCTGAGAAAGGACTTGTATCTAGAATATAAATATTTCTTCAAACTTAAAAAACGAACAAGAAAACAAGTTTTAAACAATGGGCATAAGATTTGAACAGACAATTCACAGAAGATACATGATAGCAAAGAAATCCATGAAAAGATACTTAAAATCATTAGTCATTAGAGAAATGCAAATTAAAACCACAAAGAGATACCTACTAGAATGATTAAAATACAAAGACTGACCATACCAAATTTTGGTAAGGACTCAGAGCAAATGACACTCTCATACACTGCTAAAGGAAATGCAAATGATACAATCATTTTGAAAAAAACAGTTTGGCATTTTCTTAAATAAATGTACACCTGCCATTATAATCAAGTCATTGCACTCCTAGACATTTACACAAGAGAAATTAAAGCATGTGTCCACACAAAAACATGTCCACAAACGTTCATAGCAGCTTTTACCTGTAACAACTCCAAACTGGAAACAATACAAATATTCATCAACATGTAAAATGACAGCATACAATGGCCTACTATCCAGCAATAAAAAGGAGTAAATTATGGATACACACCATCAATGAACCTCAAAATAATTGTGCTGAGCAAAAA